CCAATCAGGTTCTTCGTGAGTGGCGAAAAGTACTTATCTTATTTATTAATTGTAGTGGTTCTTTCGACGTTCGTATATACATTATTCACGATCTTGGGGGTAGGGAGGCATTCCACGCTTATATAGACATTCACAGTACGTGCCTCACCCTTGTTTCAACTCCCACTATCATTCCCCGGATTCAAGACTTATTCGAATATGCCCTATGTCAACGTGACGTCTAGCACCGGGAAAACCAGATTCAAGTACACAATATGCACTCCGGCCTCTGAAGAGGCTAACGAAATTGACCGAAATCTTCCAACCTTGCTTTTTATTCATCCTGTGTCTATAGCTGAACATATATATCATGGTGTGTATTCTTCCTTCGTTGTCGAAAGATTCTAGTGCTAATAATAACGTTTCTACATGTAGCCCAATTTTGTGACTGTCAACTTCGACGATTTAATCTTGTTTCCTTCGATTTGAGAGGGGGGCACGGTGGTACAACTGGCGACAGAGTTCCATCTCGCTACGGACAGGTTGAAGCTGCAGAAGACACTATGCGATTAATGGTAATGTATCTCATGCTCGACTACAGTATATACTAACAGCTTCTCCAGGACGCAATAAACTTACCACCCTGTCACCTTGTTGCCATGTCCTCTGGGACTACAATCGCATTGGAAATCGCAGTCACCCAACCCGAGCGTGTATTGTCCATGTTTCTGATATCTCACTTGTGCCTCGAAATAGTGAAGTTCATGCCTCTCACACATCTTTAACCTTTCATCTTACGATTGCTTTAGCCACTTGAAGTAGCCGAGGGTCACAAAGAAGTTTTCGATATTTGGGCGTCCGCTTTCCCAGATGAATCGACCGTGAAAGAAGATGCTATTTATGATGCGGGCTTTGGCAACATACAGTACATGTTCAGCAATCCGAAGCTCTCTCCTCTTGTAACAGCGTATGTGAATGCTAGCATCTGATCGAGGGTACTACTGATTTCAAGCGTCGACAGTATAACCCGTGTCACTTATCCAGTCGCCATGGTCAAATGGAACTATCATCATTTGGATCAGTTCCGCATCATGAACCTTGACTTTTACCTCAACCGCAAATCTCATCCAAAATCTGTATTGGCTCGAATAATTGGCTCCGTCAAACTGGTGCATGGTTCTGAAGATGTTGCATATCCAAAGTCATATGCGGAAGAGTTTCTTCAACACTTAGAAGAAGTTAGTGTTGAAGCTTCATTACTAGAAGTCCCTGGTGCGCCACACTACTTATCGCCGGACTTTGCAACTTGGTGAGGAACACGATTGATCGTAATCCGTGTCAATTGTTGAAATACAGACATCTATAAGTATAAATCCAGTTCTGCACAAGTTCATTCTTCAAAATGATCGCTTTGACCTCGCATTATGTGCCCCAATTCCGGATCATGTTATATCCCCCTGGGAAGATATAATGAGACAAGCGGGGTGGAATCCAGATGGCGGTGAAGACGCGGACTCCTCTGATGACGATATCATAATCAACTATTGCTTGCCCTAATACCTAGTAGAGATGCTTGATTCCCTGTAAATGTGAAACTCTCTATCTTGTACTTATACACCTATCTTGTACAATTTCTAGCTGCAATTGAAGGTTAGCCTTTGGCAGATGTTCGCAGCTGAATTTGTCTATCATATGGTTTACTTTGAATCTAACCCGCCTTAGAGACTGGAGCGATCGAGAAAAGTTGATGAGCGACCTATCAATGGGAGGGGTGAAGGCCGTTCGAGGACCGTATTTTAGTACTATACGCAATTCTGAGATGGGGGATCGCAAGAAGCATAAGTTCTCGAGCGCATAGCGAAACCTCCCGTCGTGGACATTGATAAAATGAATTTCGATGATAGAAAGAAAAGGCAAAGTCATTCCCAACAAGGGTTCATAAAATGCTGGATGAAAACAATGTCAATCAGGTGGGTCTATGAAATTGCACAAGGTACAGACCATGGCTAATTGCTTTTGGATGTTTCAGTAAGAGGTGTTGTAGACTGGACGCATGACGGTCTATCAACCTAAATCCTACGCTCCCTTCCATCGTTTCGTGGTTGCTGTCCAAATCCGAACAATCAATGGATAGTGACTTCAGTTCCGTTTGGAATATGGTCGGTTTTGTTGGAGAAAACAAAACTTCGACCAAATTAAGATCAACGTCGGACAAGGAGAGCCTCTGAACCGGTGCACGAGACCACTGGGATAATGCTGCCTTGTTCTTCTCTTCCAACGCCAAAGAAGAGTAGCAAGAAATCAAAGACTCTGTACCAGCTGCGCAAGTGATGCATTCGAGTTGAATACTTGACAACTGGGCGCAAACCCTCATAGAGGAGAGAAGGTTTTGCAAACAGTGAGTGTCAAGATAAAGGGAGGATATGCAAAGGTGTTCCAGATTCGAATGGATACGCATAATCTCCCCTACCGCGGTGACACCTAAGCAATACTCCCGTGGTCCGGGTCCACTGAACGAGACAGCGAGGGCGTTTAGGTTTGGAAACTGTATGTTGGCCGCCAACTCCGATAGGCATACTCCAAAATCAAGCTTCTTGAAGCGACTACTATCTACTAGACTCCCTTCGATCAACGATAATTCCCGAATAGATTGTTGAATTTGTCGGATTTTCAGAAGTGATTTCAGAGAACAATGTCCTTCTGAACACGTCGCTGCTGCATCAGGATTGGCAGGAAAAGAATCCGTTGGGTACCAACACTCTGAATACTCCTCGTCGGCATCATGCGCAGCTGAAGGCATACAGTGCAGACTGAAGCGTCTAAAAAGGTGTGTGCGGCATCTAGATAACCAGACGTGCGACACGAAGGAAAAAGATTTGAGAAGCTGGGGTGAATCTGCCAACTCGTCGATGAACAGGTAATAAATTTCGGGGGGGAGTCGACTGGTCATCTCTTTGGGTGTTATGGCGGAATGAAGTTGTGGAATAAACGAGGCTGCCACGTATAGCTTTTAAATGACAACTGGAAAACCGAACGGGGTTGTCTTATGCGCGCAATGAACTTTCTTACGCAAGTACCGGAGTTTATGAAACACGACAGATTAGTTAGGCTGAAAGAAAACAAATTGTCAGCACAATGATGATAAGATAAGTAAACTCTTCAAGCAAGGTGATATACATAGTAGGTACACATACTTTCGATAGCTGAAGGGCATTCGACAGCCTAGACTTAAGCGCTTTCAGCAGTAGTCTAGTTTTGGCGGAGGTCAAACGCTCGCTCTTCTTTCAAACATTTCGTTCGTCTGCGATAACTTTAAGATATACAGACGCATTTAGGTGCATAGAGTTGATGAACGGAGAGGATGTTCGAAGGAAATTTTTGGTTTCAAGATACACCCTCGCTTTTGATCCCAGGCCTATCGGTATTCAAAATCACTGCTTTCTCCGACCACGAATCTTTATCACAGGGTTCCAGGAGTTGGATTGGCCTGGTCGGGGAGGACCCAATAGGTACAACTCGACAGACCGCAGGCACGAGACACCTATACTGGCCGCGTAGGGTTTTCTCTGGTAACCATCTAGACACTATCAACGCCAGCGTAGAGTCTTCCCGTTCAAATTCACTCGCAGTCACCTGAGCCTCTAAGACCAACGTCTGAAGTTTTGGCAGAATGGGGTTCACAGAAGAACTGATGGCGCTCCTTTCATGCGAGTGTAGACTCTCGACAAGATCGAGTGTGATAGGGAGAGCATTCTCGAATTTGGACTCCGTAACGGTAAGCTCGAAAAGAGAAGGTAGCCGTTTTAGAAGCGCGACCACCTCACAGTCTGTCAAAGACATGCTGTCTAGAAATATCGTCAATGGACAAGCTGAACGAGCTAAAAAGCTGTCGACGGCATTGAAAGGGCGAGGTGGAGTATACAGATTCTCAGGTAGTTCAGGTAGTTCACCGTGCTATTCTAGCACGAGTGAATTTAGCACAGGAGCGAGAAGGGATTCCAGAAGGATCTCCCGAACCATAGGGTAGTACTCAGCCAAGCTCACTGTCAACGAAATTATAGGAATATGTTTGACAGGAATGGATCGAGCGCGGATGTCTCTATCGTGTTTGAAGTGAGACAGATGAATAGTTTTTGATTGAGGATACCAGTCAAGCAACTCGTAGAAATTTGAAGGATGGAATGAACTAGTGATCTGGCTCAAAGAGTGAGTATTTGTCCAAGAGAGCGGCAGTGACAAGGCATGAAGATCACGAAGTTTGGGAGCTCCGGAAAGAAGGTCCAGGGTGCTGATTCCATGCCCTGTGGGTTACAATATGCAGGCGGATTGCAGTTCTGGGAGTCGCAGCCCAATAAGGCAAGAATATAATGATGCTGAGAATCGCACAACATCTACGTTCAAAGTCAGATCGCGCCATCTTGGAGAAGTTTGCATGACTTTGTGTAGTAGGGAATGCTCTGAGGAACCATATACATCGATACTGATCGTGAGGAGCTGATGTTTCGAGCGTTCGAAAAAAATATCCAAAACATATTCTAGCAGTTGAGGATCATGACGCTCGTTAACTATGGGAGGCAGGATTATGCTGAAGGTGGCCCAGAGTTCCGAACACGAAAGAGTGAAAGCACGCCATCTGCTAAAGACTGCGCTGAGTATGACTTTGCTTCGAGTGGTCTAGAGTATTGCGATGGCATGAAAAGGTGAAATTCCTGATCATGATTCAGTTCGGAAGGCGATGGATAGGTGAAAGAAGAGAAGAAAGGGCGGATTTATGGTCGACGAGTCGGTCGTGTTCAGACTTGAGATATACGATGGCCTCTAACCGTAAGATCTTTGCATGGTATCCATCCAGATCGTCGTCAGCTACATGAACGAGCCGTGTAATGGATTACTGCTTCTCTGACAGCCCGCAAGGCGATCGGAGGTGTTCTTGTAAATTTGTAAGCAGTTCATCAAAGATATCTTTCTCGTCCGACCAGAAGACACCTGATGAGATTCAAAATATCTCAACCCTGTATATTGGTCTAATAGTGTAGAGGTTATCACACGGGATTTTGATCAAAGGTCTGCTTCCCGTGACCCAGGTTCGAGTCCTGGTTAGACCTGTGGATCCACCTTTTTTTTCTGGGAATAAGTGAGTGTGCAGCAAACCCAGGTGAATGTTACAATCTGTCACAATACATCTACCCATATATCTCGAGCGTGAATTGTTGCCCCCAACCTCGACGCCAACAAAAACGCTCCACTCAACTTTCTGTTCAAACTGTACGTCTCCCTTGGCGGACCCTTCTTTCGTTCCCTCAGCATCACCGGTATAAGATCCCGTATCCGTTCAGTGTTCCGCCCAAACTCAGATCCCTTTCCAAACCGCACGGGTTGCGATGTCCTCTCGTTGAACGGGAACGCCAATAATGCAAGACTCGTTACATGCGCTTCTATCATTTCAGGCGACTCGCAGTCTTCGCCTTCGCCCGGACCTCCTATTAGGTACCCCAAAGAGATACTTTCGTGAACACAGGCATTCCATGCAGGGCTTTGATGTAAGTCACTGCTGTTCAGGTCGAGAGAGGCGGCAGCTTCGAGGAGCCTGCGCCATCCGTCCAGGAATTCAGGACCATACTCTCGTGTAGCGCCGAAATCTATTAGTGCAATTTTTTTTGTTTCTACACGAATAGTGCATGAGAAATTGTACCTGATGAGCATTGCACACAGAAACTGCACATACTGGGGACGTAGAGGAAATTGGAGTAATTCGGGTCGGTTTGCATTGTCCCGAAACGGAACAACTCAAGTAAACATAGATGAAGGATTGTCGCCGCAATCTGTAATCTCAAGATAATAAATGGCAACAATTAGTACACTCTGAGGACAAACAAACCTTGTCCTTTTCTTTCTGCGGCAATGCTGTGACGAGGTCGGAGCCGAGACTGACGCCTCCCTCAACGAATTCCATGACCAGTACTTGTTCGCTGGAAACAGATGAAACCCAAGGTACGTGGAAACGGGAATCAGATCCTGGGCGTGTTAACCTAATGAGCGAAGCCCCAGTCGAAAATGAGGAGCACCCATACCTAGAAATTCCGACGAACGAAATTGCTGCAGGAAATGTGCCTCGCGTACATAGTTGCATTCGTCTGCTAGCTCTTGTTTCATGACCTGTCTAATGCTTACGTTTCAGGTATATCAACAACAGAGAAGTACGTACTTCCATAGTCCTGTCGAGAAATAGCCCCTTGGGTAATATTTTACCTCCAAGCGTAACGCGCAATAGCCAGGTGATATAAGAAAGATCTGCTGAGATAGAGTCGCGGATGTTGGGGAACTGAGCCTTGACTGCTACTTTTTCCGCTTTTCCTGGAAGAGGACAGTGTTGAATATTTGTGAGACAAAGATGAATAATAAAAAGAGACCGGTTGGACTCCATTTCGCCTTCAGGACTCCTTCGTGCACTTGGCCAATAGACGCAGCTGCGAATGGAATTCGATTGAAATGTTCAAAATACTCGGTGGACCAAGACGGGCCCAAGGCGGAACTTAAGACTTGCTACCGTAAATTGAATTACTGTGCAATAACGTTTAAGAAACAGACTTACCTCCATTTGCCAATCAGGCATATAATGCGCTGAGTCTTGGACGCGTCTAAATACAGCATCTACTTCAGCTGGGAGAAGATGGGTATCTACAAACGCATTATTGAAGCTTACTTCGATACCAGGTCTGTCTCACGAACCTTGAATACTCAAAAATTGACCCAATTTAAGCGCGGCACCTCTCATTTGGGATAATTTCGACACCAGACGACCGATGTTAGCATCAGTCAGTAGAACCGAACGATTTGGTGTACCAGACGCGTTTGCGGAGGATGTAGATGGACGAAGGAATTCTGAAGCTGCTCCATATCCTAACGATGCTGCTAAGCCTGTAAACAAAAGATCGCTAGTCAATTCTAGATCGATTTCGCATTGGACGACGCGTACCTCCGTAATGAAAGAGCCTGCCCAGTTTCGAAGAAGGTACTTTGGAAGATTGAAGAGTGTTTCTATGAGGCAACGTGGAGGCTGCAGCAGTTGGCTCTGTTATAGCGGAGTTGTTTCTTTCCAGTTCTGCTCCCACAATTGGATCAACTGGTGTTGAAAATCCGGTAGTAGTCGATGACTGAAATTCGGACAGTCCTTCTTCAAATGATTCTTCATCAGAAGGCACGGCGGAGGCTGAGGGTATGCTTGATTCGACATTCGAGACCGTATTTGAGGCGGTTTCGGAATGTGTATGCGCTTCCTTCGAAATTAGACGATCCTCCGTAGTTTCCATCAGCTCCAAAATAGATACCGATGCAGAATTTGAGGTTGTCGGCGCAAAAGCAGGCTGCAAGGGGACGACGATACGTCCCTCCTCCTCCCTCTGGCCATCTCTTTCCTGAACTTCCAATCTCTCTTCCACCGTCTGGGTTTTTGTCTTCAAATCATTCCAATCATTCTCTAACGTTACACCTCTAGCCCTATTTGCAGAAACCTTCTCCCTGGAAAGACGCGACACTTGAGAAGCACGATATCTGGCAGCATGACCAACGATTTCAGCAGCACTTGAGAGGACGCAAATCCAGTTGTATCCTGGGCCAGGTGGCATTCAACCAACGAACAAATTACGCAGGAGAAGTAGCAAGGGGTTGTTTTCTTTAGGTTTCGAACTAAAGGGACATCACCAGTTAGCACTACTAACCACCAATTGGCTACTAGAGTCGCCAAGTACAGAAAACTGTAAAGAGTCGTGACTTACTCCGGCACCCTCGCGGCTTCGAAAATTCCCTCATCAAATTCCCAGCGCTACTTTCAATTCCGTATCACCTAAAAAGCGAATCCCAGCAACTATTCTTGGTCGACGAACCACGATACAAACACGGAAACTAGTAGGTTTATAACAGCTCTGAATCTTCCTTTCTTTCGCATAAGTATAGTTTCTTCATCTACATCGTATTTACTCACTGTTATCCATCTACTGATTTATGTATTAGGCGCCGCATTGCTATGCGCTGTATAATTGATTATCGAAGTGTTCAAGTATTCTCCACCGGAAAATGAGTATCTGTCCGAAGGGAAGGAAGAGTGATATAAATTAAAAGTCACCGCTGGGAACATCCATCCTCACATTATTCGCTCTTCCGTCCTTGAAACGACCTCATTTTTTTTTGAACTCTCAGCATCACATATTTCGCCCACAACCTATTTTCAATCTTAATCCTCGACAAGCATGATTTCTTCCCTTCGCTCTCTACCTGCTCTCCTTGTCGTGATGTCGTCTTTCACTAGCTTCATCTTCGCATCCCCTGTATACTTAGCGATGCGCTCGAGCGAGACGACATTGACTCAAAACTTCACTCTCGCCGCCTTGAATGTCACGCTTCCGAATGCAAACCTGACTGGCGCTCCTCTTGTTTTGGGCACCGCCGGTCAGTACTCGAGTGTTTTCGCATCTGACCTGGCCCTCATCATCATTCACACACAGGTGCTATCGACGGAGCATCTTTCGATGTGACCTCGGTGCGCATCGATTAATTGTCACCTATGTTCTTAAAATCCTTCTAATCGGTTTCGACTTCAGACGTATGCCTCTTATCCATATAACGATTTCCCTTCCCTCGCGTTGGTGGATGGAAACCTTCGCGCTTTTTCAAGTCAAGGGAGCTGGCACACTAATGCTAGTGTTCCTTTGCTCCATGGCTCTTTGGACTGGACCACAAGCAGCCTCTATAGTAGCGCAGCTTCGACAGCCTTCACCGCAGAGTCAGGTACTGGAAATTTCTCCGTCCTTGCTTTCAACGGAACCACAAATCTGTGGAATCTGTGCCCCAGCGATGCCCCGGGATTGCCCCAGAACTCTGTATACTATAACGCGACAACAATTCCGTCTCAATCTGGGGCATCTGGAGCTAGTCCTGTACAATGCTACTCCGTGACATTGAACATTATACCAGTATGAAGAGTGAGTACATGGATTCTCTCAAAAAAGCCTGCAAAAATTGATGTACCCTTGCTAGAAATTTAAAGTAGTGAGCGAGATACGCATGGATCAATCTGCCTATCTCCTATCAGATGTTTGTGTTTCCCGCACCAGGTATCACTTAGGCATATCTCGACCACCTTGTCGGACAGTTGAATTCTATTTATTGTTTCATGTACTTAATGCCCTCAGGACCCACAGATAGGCTTATATGCTGATATACGGTCTCCTGAACCTAGAGTTGTGCGATACAACTTGACTTGACAGCTCGGGTTGGCTTCGACGTACGGGTTGCGGGAGATACGTTTGAAAACGATTCATTTTCCAGCTGGAATACAAGAAGAGTACACTACGGGTTCCAAAGGATTGTGTTGAACAACATCAATGGCTCCCTGATACATTTAAATAATGACGAGAGAATACATATATAAGGATGTACATCATCTCCACCAGAAGTGCGTGCTTGGCCTTTGCAGACTGGTGACAAATATCCTAAAGCCTAAACAGCGATGGGAATGAAGTTAAACTGAGTCTTGGCACTGGTTCCTGCAACGAGTACATTCTGCAAAGACGAACACATCGCAAAGCTACGTTAGTTTCATGAGGGATGAGTTTACCATTCATGACTTACATTACTGCCATCGACACCCCAGAAAAGCTGAGTCCCATCGCTGGTCATGACATATCCGGTCCAATAAGTGTTGGAAATGCTAGGAGATGAATGAAAGAATTAGTCCCATCTTCATTCTTGAGCACTCTCGGTGGTAAAAACTGCGACCACTCAAAAAGATTACCACCTACAGATTCGCTCCCGAAATGATCCATTGCTGGGCGATAGTTCCAGCATCAGCGACTACATTGTTTCCCGAAATAGCAGGGACATTCGGTGTCCGAGCTTGGGTAGCAGAGCTTCCAGTCTGGTACGATGTGATCACTCCGTCACCAGTAATTTGCCACTAATGTCGAGATCGTCAGTGATAATTGAAACAAGAACGGGGTGAAAGGAGTCGATGGTCTACGCCGGAGCCTCGTTGACTTACGACTTGAGAGGTAGAGGTATTAACAGTGATGTTGCCTCCAGCGGAAGCAGGTCCTGCAACCTTCTGGCT